ACGAAGGGGGGGGAAAGGGGGGGGGGGGGGGGAGGAAAGAATTTTCTGCTGGTTTTCTTTTGGACTGATATCTCCAGCGCTGAAACCCTGAAGCACCCCCCAGCTTTGTTTTGTGAGCTGGAAGTTGATGAGCGATCGTTCCTAAATCCTGGAGTGGATAGACCTTTGAGAAGAACCTTTTTAGAGTTGGCGGTGTAAAAACGTCGGATTAAGATTCTGCCGGAGAACCTAAGGCTGTTCAGAGAGCAAGGGGTGTGGCTACTAGAAAGACACTCTCACGTCAGAAACATGATATTTCCTGCTATGTTGGATGCTTATGAAGTCTATGAGCGGCCAAAGTGATCAGTGTTAAGGTTATGGTTATTTCCAGAAAGAAAAGGTCAGAGGAGTCTCCTCCGAGCGGTCTTCCAGTGCGGCAATCTGGAATACTGTGGAAGTTCCTGAACAAAATGGTGGTAGCCCCATTATGGAAAACCATTATGGACCATCCAATTAACCAACCATTCAGATTTTAGAATTAAGGATTCGATTGTGTTCGTCAACACTGCATTTTGGAGGTTAGAAAGAAGGGGCATTAAAAATGAAATGAATAATCTAATAAAATTCAAAATGCATTTAAATGGCTTAAATAGAGGGTAAACCGAAACTACTATCTTAGACTACAGGAACTACACTGGAATAATCAAGTAAAATCCAGCCTTTGTAATACAAATTTTACATAGAAAACATGCACGCAACAAAAATACCTACAAGAACAGTACAGAAAAAAAATAAATTTACTTAAGACTCAAGATAGACTAATCAAGATTTCCATTGCTTATATGATGGCACATTATTCTTTGGTAAAGTTAGGTGTTGTGTATCAACAGGTAATCTCCATGATATGTTTTATGATATGGTCTGCAAAACAACTTCTATTTTGTATGTAGCATTGACTAGTTACCTGGAAACACTAACTGAATTAAATAAAAAAAAGTCTAATCTTTGATATTGTCATTTTGCATTATTGACACACTATTTTCCTAATTAATGCTGTTCAGTTGCTTTGACACAATCTGTATTGTTAAAAGCGCTATATAAATAAAGGTGACTTGACTTGACTTGATATGAAAATATCCTACCATAATAGCCTTCAATCATATCTTTGCCTCTCTGTACAGAACAAATCCAAATCCTCTAAAATTCAACTAAGCATTTCAAAAACTGGAATGTTTAGGCATGTAACAAAACCAATTAATCAATCAAGACTTTTTCTTTACTCTTTAACTAAAGAAAGGCAAAGATATGAGGTCATTTTAGAGCAAGGCATTTAGACTTAGAATTTCTTCATTTAACAATCACTTACCCCTACATACATATTAATACACTTACAAACTGGCCTCACATAAAATGGCGCATTAAAAAGGTAAAGGAAATGTTACTGTTGGTGGGTTTAAATCGTTATTCCGACCTGTCCTCAGGGTTAACAGGGATTCCCAGGTCTCCTGTACGTAGTTTACGTGTCAGGTCTTCGATCTGCAGTTGGACTGGAAGAAATCAGGTTAGGAAGAAAAAAAAACAAGGATGGAGAGAATTGTGGTTAACAACAAAAAAAACCCACAAAAGCAGAAACAGTACACTGTAAAACTCAACGTGACTAAGGTTAAACATTGAATAAAAAAATAAAAAAATTACCATGGTAATCGTCAGTTCACTAAGAATCAAGGTCAACTGAAGACTTTTGATCCTCTGCAACATTTTCTGAAATACTGAAATCCCGCCCAGATTTCTGGAAAACACAATGCTTGAGCTTGAAAGTATTCTTATAAGCCCATACAGATTTCTCCAAACATTCAAAAAACTTTTATGTTTGGCCAATTTAAGATGCAGAAACCTGGAGGGATTTCAGTAAATAACTATTTCAGAAAGAGGTTCATTGCAACAGGCTTTCAATTTTATGCCACCAACTTCAAAAAGTGAAACTACTAAAATTCACATTTTTAGCATACATTTAAAAATATTACTTCACATACTATAGTCATTTCAAGCTAAAAAGGTGGCAAAACATGAAGGCCTGTCAGGGAGAAAGAAAGTTGGTTTTGAAGAAAATTAAAATCATATTGGCTAAGTGGCTTGAGCAACTGCATCCTCAATGAGATTGAAATGAAGTTATTTAGAGGATAACACCAGTGTAATTAAATGACAGGACTGTAACTTTTAACAACACTAATAAACTTCATCAATATTATTCAACACTCATCAAGTTATTAACATGTCACAACAAACACTTACCAGATGTTACCAGTACTACTCAGTTAGAACAACTGAGATGCAATAATTAGAAATAATAAGACAAACAGATCAGTCTTTAGTGGATTGGGTGGTTTTTTTTTTCATGCAAAAGACTAGATTTACTCAGGTCTCAAGCCACGCCAAAAACTGACCTGTAATCAAATAAAGTTCTGCATCACTCATGGAAGCATTTGATGGGTTTTCACATGCATTTTTCTATGACATGTTTAAAGGGTTAGGTCACCCAAAAATAAAAATTAGCCCATAAATTACTCACCCTCAAGGCATCCTAGGTGTATATAACTTTCTTCTTTCAGACGAATCCAGTCAGAGTTATATTAAAAATTGTCTTAGATCTTTCAAGCTGTTTAATGACACTCAGTGGGTGTTGCAGTGCATCAGTCCAAAAGAAGTGAAATAAAAAGCATTCATCCTTAAAGGAACACTCCACTATTTTTGAAAATAGACTCATTTTCCAACTCCCCTAGAGTTAAACAATTTTTGTAAGAAAATAACCATATTTAAAACATAAAAATCAATTTAATCTAGCTTGCGCCAACAGTTGTACACAGAAGCAGCTCCGGGCAGATGACTTATGAGGGCGGG